TGTATATATGAAATTAGGAATGCCATCTCAGATCAGTATTCAAATACGATCAGACAATAGTCTACCAATATGATCTAAATTTAYAAGTTTTATATTCCATTCCAAATAGACAACAAATATTCAGGCTATTTGTATTCATTACGAGAAATAGGAAATTTATACAACTACATATCTCAGTACAAATATCAAAGACGGTACAGATATATTTCACTTATAGGCGATATCGATCAACCAAAATATAAGTCCTGAATATTGAAAAACGTTCGCTAAACAAGGCCTAAGTCATTGTAAAAAAAATAGTTAATTACATATGACTGAATCGGCCAAGTGAACGTTCTTTACCACGGTCAAAATTCATCTTGAATAAGACTTCAACTTCAATCGAAGCATGACATACTTTAACTTCATAGCAGACCATTAACTTCACTAGAGGGCATATAAAGTGTCTTGGTGTCATTATTTGCATTATTTGAATTATTTTCTGATATACAGACTGTAATGAGCAGATAAACTACCCAAGGATGAACGACTCAAACATAAAGCGCTGTTTACACGAGCATTTTTTTCTTGACAAGTTTCTTGTCAAGGAAAACTTGTCCGTGTACATGGTCAACAAGTTTTCTTGACAATTCCTCCTTGTCAATGTTTCTTTGCTCGTGTAAACAAAGAACAAGTTTTCCTTGACAAGGAAATATTGCCCGTGTGAATGGTTAACAAGTTTTCCTTGCCACATTTTGCTTGTTGTCCATTTACACGAGCAAATTTAATCCTTGACAATTTTTTCTTGCCAAGGAAAGCGAACATGCTGGCTTTTCCTTGACAAGGAAAAATTGTCAATTTTACCCCATTTACACGAGCAATTTTTCCTTGTCAAGGAAAACTTGTCAAGGAAAATTTGCTCGTGTAACCGGCGCTTAACACTCGCTTCTAACACCTCTAACTTCAGTTCGATAAATGCCTCTTGCATGTATTGGGAACCAGACACTGATGTTGAGAAAATTGCTAAACTCACTGCCCTTATACTGCTCGTTGAATTGGGGATTTGTTTCAAAATCTTCGTCATCATACTCGCTGCTAAATACACARTACGCAAGAATYTGCATCATTTGATCGTCAACATGACCGTCTCAGATTACACATAAAACTACCAGCAATCTTGAGTTAAGTTATACTCTAGAGAGTATACCAGAGAAAAACGTTCTTTAATTTAGATAAATTCAAGTTTCCTGCAGATGTACTATAATCGTTGCAAAAAAGACTTGGACCACACAATTATTTGTCTCCAGCCGAACATTTTTCTCCATTTATTTTTTCACAGTTCTCCCCCTTAGCCCTCTTTAATCAATATTGGCTCTTGTTTTGGATGGTTGAGTACTATAATTGTAACATGGTCAATGACGACACTGCATTTAGTGTTTTTTTTTAGGGGGGATGAAAAATTTTGTTTGCGCGTTTTTGCTTAAGRTGAGGAAATTCGCTGGAATGGTCCACGGATTATGTCAACGATTGTAGCTAGAAAGCAWTCTTAACTGCTACATTTATATGTCAATATATGTAAGTGAACATTACTAAGCTGAAGAAGTCYTAGCATTGTTATCAGTTGACTTAGGATGCATTAATTAGTGCTAAGTGTAAGAAATAAAACCTTAGTTTGAATCGTTGATAGTTTTTTTGTTGATAATTTTCTTTTGTGTTTTCTTATGTTTTATTTTCTAGTTTCTTCAACATTTGAATTGCTTACATTAGTGATTGATTGATTTTCCCTCCTTCGTGCTTTMTTTCATTTGACTCTACGTTTTCGTTTCATATTTTAGAATTCCTCTTCCGAATTTTCTTTTTTCTCTCTTTTACTTTCTTTGCTCAGAATTTTCAACTGACTTTTTTATAACAAGTAGTACAATGTACCTACCATAAAGTAAAAAAATTTTTTTTCGCAATACGCCACAAAAATCAACAATTTCACCAAGCTATTTTGTGAATATTACCTTAAAAGCGGTCCCAGTTCTTTTTTTTTTATTATTTCTCACTCGCGACCAAAATAATTAAAAACAACAAACCTGTGTGCATCTTCACCCAAAAAAATA